TGTTATATTTACCCACTAAATATGGATAATATAGATTATATATTTAGAAACCCAAAAATAGTTTGGGTAAATATAAAAATTTTATAATATTAAAAATCTCTTATATTTATCTTTATTTACCATCCATAATTATGCCATAATATAATAAGAGGCCAGCACTCTTCAAACATGACTGGCCTCAATGATCGACACAAAAAAAAATTTCTGAAGAGAAACCAAAAAACTCTTCTCCTAGCGTCGTCTCTTACCCTTCCTTCTCGGCGTCTTTTCATCTTTATCGTTTCAAATTCTAACAACTTCTTTTGAAACCCAATTGGACCATTCAATCACTCTCTTCAGAAATCGTAGCCTCCATCTACTGACTTCTAAACAAGATCGTTCACTTTTTATAAAGATTATAGTCTTTCTCTTCTCATTCTCTCTTTTTATTTTCTAGTTTCATTATTTTTTTTTAATGTGAGAGACTCTCTAACAGATCCTCAATGGAGGTGCTCATGGTGTATATTGAACTGTATATTATCGTTATTGTAAGAGCACTCTCAATAGAAATAATATATCGTCGAATTGAATAGTCTTTTACAAGTTTTTTTTGAGCATGCAGATTATATTATAAAACATCATCATCTATTGTAATTGATGCATTTTTCTTTGTAAAATATAAACACTTGTAATGAAAAATGATATAATAAAACAACATTTGAAACCTAATATATCTAACTTTCCTAATATAGAGCCAATTTTAAAATAATATATAGTTATAATTTCGAGATATTTAACAATAGAACATGTCAACATACGTGAATTGTGAATTGTTTCTCAAAAAAAAAAAACATACGTTAATTGTTGATAATCTTATTAGTTATGATCTGCTATAACTATCGATAGAAAAATGTTGGTGCTTGTAATTACAGCTATTAATTAAGTTGGTGCCGACCAGTTTAATCATCTGTTTAGGAAGTGTAATCATCTGTTAAGTTTAGTCTTTTCAAATTTCTTAAATTAGAGTGAGCATTTATTTTATATTCATCTAACCATCACAAAAACAAAGTTGAACGTGAATCAATCAATAATTGTATTATTAGTGTGAGCATCTTAGCTAGCCTCCTTCATCTTCCTCTCCAAATCCTTAACGGATTTTATATGGATTTTTAATAATTATCGATCCGTATAAAATCTTATCCTGATAAAATTACTAATTTGTAGATGAATAGTAATTTACATCGAATTATTACAAACTCGTAGCTTACTTACTTCTGTTGATTTCCCTAACTGTAACTTACTTCTGTTGTCACTGTCAACCAAATATGGGTAGAACTTTTTAACAAAGAGTATTAATCGTAAAAGAGATCAAATGTTTAAGATATTTTTGTCACCATATAATTACATACATGCTAGTGGATGAGAACCGAAAACAGTGTTTTTGGTTTAGATGAATTCTCTTACAAATAAATCAAAGTATATTAGTAATTTTATAAACATATTAGGGTTTCCAAATATGACGTAACAAATTGACTGAATCAAGAATACGATGGTACGATAATTAGAAAGACAAAAATAATAAATACACAAAAGAGACAAAACAATAAAGTATTTAATTTTTATCAGCAACAACAAAACAAAGCGTAATTAAGGCTGGGGACTACTCGCAAGTTTCCAAACGGATTTTTAAGGACCATGTTGGGTAATTTCGTCTTCCAGATAACGGAATTCACAGCTCACTAATTTGTTTAAAAAAAAAAAAGGGAAATTGAAAAAAAAAGATATTTTTTTTAAGTTTGTCCATCTATAATTTTATTATTTAAGTTTGGTGATATATACTTTAATTTAGTTAAAATTTTATTATGTATTTAATCATAAATATTAGATTTAATCATATTTTATGGAATAACTTACAATAATATTTATTGACTCAGTTGGTTGATGAGTTAGAAATTTTTGATAGATGTCTCAAGTTTGAGGTTTTCTTATTTCTTTTGTTATAATTTTTTTTATTTAATCACTGAGAATTTTTTTTAAGATAAAAGAACCAAACAACAACCTCGTAAATCAAGAACTCTAGTTCGGTAATGAATCGTTAAAAAACTAACACAAATTGGTTTGTAATTTTGATTTATTCTCAAACCGTCAAGAAACCAACACAAATTGGTTTTCTGTTTGTTTAACAACATGTTGTTGTTAATGAATTATAGAGTTTGAATGCAAATACCCATTCTTTTAATTCGAAACAATAATAACAATCTTTGATATTCTGAAAAATGCTAGGGTATATATTGAAGGAAAATCGATAATTTACTGAATTCTGAAAAAACAGAATACGTATTCTAAATTCTGAAAATTTTAATGTAACAAGATATTTGATTTTCTAAAATGCGAGATATTGCTAGATTCATAATAAAGATTTCGTATATTTAGTTTCCATAATTTTTGGATATGCATTATGC